CACACACACACACACACACACACACACACACACACACACACACACACAGACTGATTAGGAGGTGTCGTTGACACTCCTGAATCAGCACAGCCTCTCAGCTCGTCTCTTTCACAGCTGTCCATGTCCTTCTGCTGACCCCGCTCTAATTAACACACACACTTCCTGTGATGGCAGTGACAGGCTGGACATGAATTGGTAAGAGATTGACAAAAAATACTGTGTAAAAAACTTTAACCAAGTTTTTAAAATATATTAGCTACACTTACAATTTTTTCTCGTCAGTCCCTAAAACTGTGCTTTGTTCACACTGCAGGTCTTAATGCTCAGTTCAGATTTTTTGGTGTGGACGTTCACATTCTATTTTAAATGTGACCACCACCAAATTCTGTTGTGAACTCTCCACAGCACTAATGTGACCCGCATGCACAGATGATGTGATATCATATTCAGCTCACTGTTTACAGACGTAGCTAAACATGGATGCTACATTTTAGCATGTCAGTTCTGAAGTTGCTGATTAAATAATTATCTGACATGCTTGTGTAAGGATCTGGCTTAGTGTAAAATAAGCCTTTCCCACATCTCTCATACACAAGGTTATGAGGAAATTAATTACCAAGGAATCTCTTATTCTTCGTTAATATCTTGACTGTGCGAAGTGAAAATGACACACAATAAGTGGAACACTCAGATGAGTTCAATTTGATCCATAAACAACTATGCCATCATTTATTTACATAAATGCTGATTTTATGCTTTTAATGCCATTTATGGACTTAAATTCAATAAATTTTTAATGTGAAGCCAAACCCCTGGTTCTATAAATCATTAAGAATGGCTGAAGTTGACCAAAGTTAGTCTTTATTTGAGTCTCTTAAGCGGTATTTCCATGTTTGAAATATGGACTCTCATATCATTTCAAGATCAATCAAGAAAAAAATAATATTCTAGAAAAGTTATATTTAAAAAAATGCAGTTTCAATTTATGGTTACAATGAGGTTTTCAAAAACCTACTTTTAAAGACATTTGACAGTTAACAGCCAAATATAATAAAACGCCCCTATTTTGTGTAAGAACCTGAAAAAATAAAGTCCTGCTGTCACTTAGAGAGGTTTTTCTCACAGATCAGTTGAGGAGTTAAATTATCCCCTGACACCTTGTGGCAGCTGTTTCACAATTAACTCCTCTGTTAACTCTCCAACAAATTAAACAAATATGTTCAGTTTATTTAAATTTATCGGTGAAAGCTGTCCGTGGCAGTTTCCTCCTGCCCTTACATGGTGTTTCTGGATATGCACCATGAAGCTTCACACATGGAGACTTAATGAATTTAAACCCCCATTTTCTCAATTGGTATTTATACATTGTTATTCCTGCATTAAGTTTTCATCCAAAGCAATAAATGCTTGAGTGGTTAGGATTCCAAACTGAACAGACAATAATTGTTTGCTTTGACACCTTCCTCCGCTCCACCTCCTCCGTGCGCTCTAGGTGTTCCATAGAGCACATCGCTTGTCAGAAAAAATAAGTTGTTTCAAGACAGTTTTTCTTGAAGGTTCCAGCTTTAAAAAAAAAAAAAAAAAAAATCTTGTGCTGTGACAATAAAAGCATCCTGTTAGAAGCCAACTCCATTTGTTGTCAAATGATATAAAGCTGCTTGCCTGGGATATTCAGGGTTTGGTTTTTATTTATAACCCAACAAAAATTCCAGGTTGTAAGGCAACTAAATTTTAAGGAGCATTTTAAACATAATGATGCTGATGCTCCCTCATTATTTTAGCTCAAAATGAGTTTTTCATTAAATGGAGAAGGCAGAATTTTTAAAGGTTGATAATAAATCCTAAACTGTGGGATGAGCTGCCTGTGCACATCAGAAAGGAAGACTCACTTCCTGTTTTCAAATCTGCGCTTAAAACACGTTTTCTCCTTGGCTTTTAACTCAGCTTGAAATGGTTGTATTAATGTTTTGGTTGTTATTTTATTGTTATTTAATGATTCATTTTACTGAGTGATTGTTTTTTTTTATGTTTCAGGGTATCTGCAGGTTTTAGCAAGTAAATTTAAGACTTTTTAAGACCTTTTTAATACCACCTTGAATGAAATTTAAGACCGAAAATATAAGCAACAGTTCGGGGATTCTACTATATTACAACCAAGCACATGTGTGTCACTCAATAAAAAGCATTGAATATAAAGGTATTCAGTGCTCTCTGGTTAAATTAGCTGTATTTTACAAGTGCAGTTATTTGGTTGGAAACAACCAACATAAAATACATCTACTAAACACATTCATGTCATGAAATTTGTGTTTTAACCTCCAGATTTGCCTTTATACAAAAATAAGTCATCCAGCCAACTGTCAATGAACATGCAGTTTAACCTGCAGCATCACTATCCAACAAATGTCTGAAGGAAGAGAGGTTTTAACAACTTTCTGTAGTTTATTTTTATGTAATATCAGTGTTTTCAATTGAGATACTCTGATAAATTTGAAAAATTATAGCACATAAACTTCCTTTATAAAGGATGTTATTGGTAAGTTCTTATTAATTTTTTAATTAATGTGTTTATTTTTTGAGTCTCACAGATTTCTCCCCTAAAACCAACATTTCATTCAAAGGGAATAGTTATAGGATTATAGCTCATGTCATACTGATTGATGATCTGGGAGCCTTCTAGAAGGCAACTTGTGTCCTGTTATGTTCAAAGGTTTTCTATTTCTAGTGACAATCATAGTGTAGTGTCCAAGAGTGGGGGGGCCTCTTCTCAGGAATGCAAAGATGTGATGTCTCTTGGTTTTCCAGCTTCAGAGCTCGGCACGTATTACCATATTAGGAAGAGGAATGCTTAAGGTATACCGTGACAAAATTTATGGTACATCTGTGAAGCCTATAAAGAGCCTTGTACGCCCCCACCCTTAGCCTTCGTATTTCATCTTTCTTACTGGGTGAATCATTTGGCTTGAAGGCCACAATTTGGTTTTTGGCTGTAATCTCCTGGACTGCAMAATAAAGATTCTTGCTGTTCAACCAGCCTGTTTCAGAGTTCTCTCTTCATTGAGCAACAGCAGTTCCACTTGAACCAGAAGAAGTGGTTATTTCACCTCAATGGTCATACTATTTACTTTTCAAATTTGATCATTCAGGAATTATTTTTTTTATCACAGTTCAGTTAGTAGTATAGTTCTAAAGATAATAAAAGTTTAGCACATCCAAACGGACAAAACACCTCATTGTTGTTAAAACATTCTGTAGAATTAACTTGTTCTTCACCAGTTTGAGGGAAATTTTAATTTAAACTGAAACAAATGTCTTTGCTGTGATCTGGAGTCTATAAATACTCGTCTTTTAGCATTAATAAATGTTTAATAACTAATGCAGCAGCTACAACTTCTCTCTCACCATGAGACACACAGGACGAGCGCGCTCCCGCTCTGACGTGCACTCTCGGACCCAGAGTTTGGTCGCACGCGCAAGTTGCACATAAACGTTTACACAATTGGACTTTAGATACAAAAGGTCGGGGCTCGGTTCTGGATGGGAAGGAGTACTCAGGTAGCTCCTCAGCGCGTGCAAGTTGCACGTCTTTAATATAACTACAATGCTCTGAACACAACAACAATTAACCCGGCGTTTCACACAAAGTTAGACTTTAGATAAAAGAAGACCCACGCAGGTCGGGGCTCGGTTCTGGAGGATGGGCTGAAGTAACGGTGTAACAGCTCAGCATCTCCTCGGCTGCAGTAAACTGGTCACACGCGAACACACGTTTAATTCTTAGACATTTAATAATTTATTACATAACTGTATCTTCATGCGGGGTGGGTGGTTCTGTTAGCGGGTCAAAAAAAGAAAAAAAATAGTCATTGGAAAAGTTCGAGGCTGAGCAACTAACTCTGTTTACCTCACCTGCAGTATCCGCTCAGACAGCAGGACCCGCCCTACTCTGATCTGATTCGCTAAAACTGTGACTGTGTTCTTTTTGTTGGTTGAAAGCAGCGTCAGTTAATTCATCACAACACAAGTTTGTTTTTTCTTTTCTCAACAGGAAATGCGCTGCAGAGACGGCCGGAGGAGACAGAGAACTTTAATCGCTTCTGCCCGAAGACCTTTGAGTAACAAATTTAAGACCAACTTCCACATTTTTTATAAATTAAAGACATTTTTATTTTAGATATGTAAATTTAAGACTTTTTAAGGACCCGCGGATACCATGATGTTTGCTTTTATGTGTTTTTATCAGTGTACAGCACTTTGGCCAATGCTGTTGTTTTAAAGTGCTTTATAAATTAAGTTATATTGTATTATAACTCTAGAATTGTTAGGGGCATTTATAGACTGAAAATAGACTTTAGATTATGTCCATCTTACACTCAAATGGGGTGTGGGGGGGTGAAAGTCTGTGGAAGTTTAAGATCACATTTATTATTGGGGTCAGTGGTTGTGCTTACAGGCCTAAAGATTTACTGCAGTAGACATCTGAAATCTGTGACAATTTTTGGCATTAACAGCACATATGATGCAATTTATACACGTGGACAAAATTGTTGATAACCCTTGTTTAATGAAAGAAAAACCCACAATGGTCACAGAAATAACTTGAATCTGACAAAAGTAATAATAAAAACTTTTTCCCCTTTTTTTGGGGGGGGGGGGTGGAGGATTGTCCTGGTATCAAGACATTGTATAGTTTCCATTGGGGCTTAGGTTTCATGACAAGACAAAGTATGTATAACTTGCAGATGAACCTCTGCATGTGGTCAAAAGTTAAAGCTCATGTTATTTACCTCGAGGCAGTCATTGAAAAGGAAGAGTGTGACATGTTCTCCCCGGTCACACGGCTCATCTCCCAGAGCGATTGTTTCAACTCTGTGAACCAGGCTGCGATGGGAGGAAAGCAAGTTGGCCTGCAAAGAGACAAAGCTTTGAAAGTAAGAACAGAAAGGACAAGAGTAGGTCAAACCGAGATTAAATGGCTAATTCATTATTTCCTTCTGATGATGTGAATTAAAGACATCTCACAGTTAGTCATGGTAAATCATGTTTCAGTTATAATGTTTACAGATCAGAACATTGAAAAACAATCATCTGATACTTATTGGGATTCATAATTAGACAAAAACTATCTCCAACAGGAAAATGGAGCATTCTTGTGTCTTCTGATCTTATTTCCCTCCCACAAAGCCAAAGGCTTTATGCGAAAGTTCATGTTCATGGCTTTTACTCAACTCAAGAGAAAAAGTGGAAGTCGTGCTGCCAATCAAATGCTGTCACTGATAAGACTAAATCAACTGTTTATAACTGTATAAAGTTCCATCATTCTGACGTTAGAAGGATTATTTACAAGTGCATAAAATTCTAAATAATATTTTTGGAGTGGATAATAAAGTAAGGTCACCCCAATGTCAGACTGTGCAATCCTTTCAGAAATTAACTGGGGAAGAAAAACCTACAGGCCACAGTTCACAGATTAAGGATTAAAGTTCTGGACCAAACACTAAGAAAAAGAATAAGTATGGCTTGTTTAAAAAGGTTGCAGAAGACAGACAATTTTCTCTTAAAAGAACACGGCAGCATGACTTGGGTTCATGTGAACAAACCACAGAACCTTCCAAAACGCTGTGCTTTGGACAGCTGAGACAGAATTAAAGATGTTTGCACAGCAGCACATTAGGAGTAAGTCAAACACAGAATGTCAGAACAAATGATTGAATATAACAGTTAAAATTATGTAGTTGGACCTTGAGGGAGCTATGAAACAACAAAAGCCTAAAAACTTCAATCAACTGAAGAAACGTAAAGGAGTGTGGGCCAAAACTACTCCACAAATATGTTAGAAACTATTGAAGGCATACCAAAAATTTCTTTAAGTTTTTGTTGCTTCAAATATTTTTACAAGCTGTTGGATCCATTTTGACACATGTTTTTTTCATTCTGGCATTCTTTTAGTTATATTTTATCACACATATATGATCTGTATTATGAAAAATGTAAATATCTCACTATATACCAAAAACATGCTTTGTTCTTTTTTTCCATTTTTGAACATGCTCAAATATGTAAAACCTAATTTTCTCATCCGTCGTCTTTTTCTTACTTCTCTAAGGTTTATATAGGATTTGAAAAAAATTAATTCAGATTTATTGTAATAAGATGTTTAAGACAGTAATGGTGTGGACTGAACCATGTTTAGAGGTGGGCGATATATATCGCAGACGATATTATTTTCCATGTTGTTTTGAAGATATGCAATTTTACATAATCGAGTATTCATACTGTTTCGAAAAGACAACAAATACGGTCGTGGCATAAATCCCCATTCGTGGAACATCTGCCACAGAAACTAATCAGTGGGCAGGATTCAGTCTTGGACTCACAGCAGCCAAAATCACAAGGCTTAAAGTTCTCCGTCGCCACAAAGGATTTTCGTAACTCTGAACGTGACCAGGATGGATTTGTCATTTGTAAGGGTGGGAAACTCTGGTTGTTTTCTGTTGTGGTCTTGTTAAAGCCGCCCAGTCTGCTCCAAACGGGATGCTACTTTCAACAAACCAAACAAACCCCAGAGTACTGTTATCCAATGAGAGCAGGCAGGTCAGCAGGAGCAGCAGTCCTCTTGAGTGAGTAAACCTCTCCTCTCCTCGAACTTTGGTCTCTAAAACCTAACTTATATTAAATATTTGTGCTCAGAGCACCATTATCCAAAATATATGTCCAACTTTGCACATATGACCAAGCTTCTCATGTAAAGGCTGCTTGCGAAGTGCAACATTCAAACAGTTTGTTAGTTCATCATGCTTTTGCTCTCCTATTCTACAACATTTCATAAGTTATAAAGTATTCTGCCACATGGAGAATACTACAAAAACGTAAGCACCGAGTATAAACACCTCCATCGCTGGCAAGGATGCACGCACTCAAATGTTTTTGTAGTTTATCATTTCCATAGATGTCCTAGTAAGCAAGCAGGGTTTGCCAGCATGCTTGTTTGTTTGTTTATTTATTTATTAAGAAAGAAACATACCGTCTGATTATCAATATGGGCAAATGAAAAAAAAAAGATATTTTTGTCCATATCGCCCAGCCCTACCATGTATGACATAAAATGGTTGCCAGGGGAAAAAAAATCAGTCATTACTTTAATAAATTTTATATACTGTATATACCTTTAGAACCCCTAACACACCTGACTGCTGATCATTTCTAATTCTCCTGAGTCATTTTCTGAAACAATATTCAGATACATCAGATTTTAATAGTTTTCTTTAAGGTTACTACACATATAAACTATCCTAAACATACATAAATAAGTAATTGTGTAACTCACAGGACAACCATCGACTTCATAGACCACATCAAATATTTGCTTTTGGCCTTCAGTCTTCCTCTTGTCCTCATTGATGTGACTGGTGGAGGATGGAGAACAGAAGAAAACATGTCAGAACAGAATATAGTCAGAAATGCTCAAACAGTAAATAAACAGTATTGAGTAATTAAGAGGATCAAGGACCAAACAAACAAAAACTACAACGCTAACCTAACTTTGTAATATTCAAAGCTCAAAAGTGCCTTTATTTGACGTCTAAACTGTATAAGAAGCATAAATACTAAAGCTGCTGCCAGTAGCTCAGTAAGGTCACCATGGTAAATACACACCTGTGGCTGTCAACTCCCTGACTGCCAAGTTATTGAAAAAGACAGGAGCAAACTAAAAGATAAGCCTTTGCAAAAACTATACAAAAGATCTTAAAAGTTCTTGAGTCGTGAGCAGAAACATTGGGCCTCATGCAAGAACATGTTCGTATTCTTATCCTAAATTTCTCTCACTTTTGTTCGTACAAAGGGTTTGTACGAACATGTCACATCAGATTCAACAAACTCTTCTATCTTCAGGAAAAGTGTGTAAATGAGCTGCATAAATTCCACCTGTTCGTATCCAGCTGCTCGTGCACGCGAGAGGAGATTAGCATAATTACCACCCCAAAAACACCATATAAGGCTGTGTTTCCTGCCTCAGATACAAGGAGGTGTCCATTCATGAAAATGACAGCGAAAACTAAAAAGAAGAACTTTACGAGTTCAGGGATTGAAGTCCATCTGTCAGAGATCCAGAAAAGAAAATCTGTCATTTTTAGCAGGTCAGCTGTGGAATAAAAAGACCTGCTAAAAGTATAAACAACTGTGTTAAATCATTTTCATTTATTCAGAAGCCACACCGGCTGGATTGACAAGTCTACCGTTGTTGACATCTTTATACTTTCTTGCCATCTGCCATCACTAATATGCACCTTCATATACATTCATTTTTGTACTGTACTTTACGGTGTATATACAGTGGGGAAAATAAGTATTTAGTCAGTCACCAAT